TTGGGACCTCAGCTTCCTCATGCGCTGCAAGCACCTGCTGCCCCATTGCTAACACCCTAAAACACGGGGTCGTGTCTGCTTTGGGGCATCAACTCAACCCAGCACAATGATTATTCCAGCTTTGTCGCAGAAGGCACAAAACTGCGGGCACAGCCAGGGGTGTCGGAGCAAGGGAAGCGGAGCACACGGAGTCCTTGTGTGCCCCATGGCCAGGCCTCAGATTTATTTCTCATACGATGAAAAATACACAAAACGTGGCATGATAGGAAGGAAAGAATTATAGTGCACACGCACACATACCGAGAAAACCTAAAACCTAAACTCTTCAACCAGCGAAACACCAGGACAGTTTTGAAAATACATTTCAAGAGGAGAGCATGAAATACCCGCCGCTTGCAGGRCTGCCGCGAGCCGAGGGGTGCAAGGCGTCGCGCCTGCCGGGTTCTAGCATGTGGGGGGACCCGAGTGCCCCCATCCCTCAGGTCCTCACTCTGCATCTCCCCTGTGCAGCCCCAGAGGACCCTCATTTCCCCCGCTTTGCCAAGGGAAAGTCACAGCCCTGGGGGGCATCCCCGACTCCACAGAGGTCTCCAGCTCCTGCTGCTCCCGGAGCGGGAAGCGTGCTGCCTCTTCCCTCCCTCTGCAGTTTATTTTTCGTTCCCCCTCTGGCAGGCGCCGTGGCCAGGCTAGTCCCGTCACGCTCCGTCCCGGGGTCAGAGCCAGCTTCGCCTCCGTCTCCTCRGCCGGCTGCTTCCCAAGCTGCTCCTCCCTGCGCGGAGCTCGCAGGGTCCCTGCCCCGRCTCCCAGGGGACAAATTGCGGACTCCAGCTCCTCTGTTGGGTGCAGGCTCAAAGCAGAGGCCGAGCGCTGTGCTGGGCGACACCGGCAGCTGCACCCCGGCACCCCAGGCCACTTGGGACCGAGCACCCGGGGGAAGCAGCACGGAGGCTCCGCCGGCTCCGGAGCCCGCTCAGGACCAGCCTTTGGGCATCCTGGGGTGCGCAGCCACCGCTCCCCTCTGCTTGGTGCCAGCTGCCCCCTCCCTGCTTCCAGCTCCTATCCCCGGCTCTCCCATCCCTGATCCTGGCTCCCCATTCCGGGTGCCGCTGCCTGGATCCCGCTGCCCATCCCAGCTCCGGGTTCCCCTGCGCCGCCTCCGCGGCAGCCCCTGCCCCGTGACGGCCCTCGAGCCGCTCCGCGAGGTCTCTGCCGGCCTCTCTCCTTATCCCCGTGCCCGGCTCCTGCAGCCCGTGCCCGGGGTCCCCAATCCCCTT